GGGGGGGGGGCGGAGGGAGGGGAGAGAGGGAGGGAGGAAGAGAGGGACCGTTGTATAGTCATGCGAAGTTAAAGCGAATCACCCGCTCGACGAAGCCGAAGGCGTACGCGTGTCGGTCTTTTCGGTCAGTTTACCCGGTTAGTAATCCGGTATTTTAGCCGATATCATCGTGGGAGATGGGACTGGGTTTCCCGTGTTCTCTCAATTGGAACAGCCGCGACATCCGATAATCCGCGCGCGACGTCGTAGCCGTCGAGAGCCGCGTAGGCCACGTGCTTCGTACACGTGCACGAAGGGAGCACCTGATCGCGGTGTGAGCGCCTCTTTACGCGTCGCGTCCACACCGCGGATCGTCTCTCGGTCGAAGAATATTACGGACGCGGATCTCATTCGGCCGACGTATCATCCCATCGTTACCGTAAATTCCCGGGAGAATTCCCGTTAAGAAAGGAAACAGCAGAAAGGGAAGAGAGATGGGTAGGGAGAGGAAAGAAATCTTCATCGGCCGTGAGGCCTAGACCAAGGCTGCACATCAATTGCAGCAGGGGTCTTTAAAGTATAATAAAGTATCGTTTCGGGGGTATCAAGGCCGGCTCGCAGTAAAGATTCCGTCGTGCCGAATGTGGCTTTGCAATCGATATCAATATAATGGGAAGCGCGGCTTTATCGATTGCAATAATTGGCGGCGTAAATAATGCGGGGCGAATATCCAGCCGTGTTGTCTATTAATGGAGATATTTGAGAAAAGCGCGTGCAAAAATGCCAAGCGAACGAGCGCTCTCTCGCTCCGGCTTGGGCATGAAAATATCCCCTGCGTCTGTGATCGAATTATGGCAGCATTGAGGAAAATCACGATCCATAAATAAGTCACCGTCTGTGCCAAGAGCTCCGTTTCGAAGATTTCAGCACGCGATGTCAATGTATCGTATCTCTCGCGCCCGTGTCGTGTAAGCGTAAAGTCCGAAGAAACCGGACCCGATGTCGCGATTCCTCCTCAACGTTGCCTGACATTCGACGAATCGGCGAGCGCAGAATTGCACGATGTTGATAAAATCGCGATCTTGCAGTGGGGTACGACCTGGGCGGCGTATCCACGTGCAGCAAGAGGGACCCGGAGCACGGGAAGAGGCCGGCCGGTAGCAAGGAGCCGCACTGCCTCTACCCGGGCGACCTGTACCCCTTCACCAGGAAGCCGCTCTTCGTCGTCGTCGACTCGGACAACAGCTTCGTGTTCCAGGAGATACCGCGCTACTTCGGCCAGCCTTTGATGGTGCTCATGTCGCCGCAGGACACGCCGCCGACCCTGCGCGACCTGCGACACGGTGGTAGCCTGTTCACCCTCTTTCTTCATGCCCCCCTTGCCGCCTTTTGCCTTATATGCAACGTCGGGAGCCTCGCCGTGCACCATTGGGAGCGCTGCCAGCGTTACATCGAGCGATTCCTCAACGAGGCCAGTCAGCTCGTCACGCGTTCCCGATGTGGTAAGGATACTTGGACACTCGCACCGTTGCTCGTCGAGGCTTCAGTTAAACGGAAGCGGACGAGCGGGCCCGGTAGTGGAGGACGATGAGAGTTCAAGCAGCAAAACGTCTCGTCGGGACAGATAGAGAAAGAAAGACAGAAAGGGAGGGAGGGACAGAGAGCGAGAGAAAGAGAGAAAGAAAGAGAGAGAAAGAAAGAGAAAAAAGAGAGAAAAAGAGAAGGAGATACATGAGCTCTAAAAAAAAAAAAGAGAAAAAATGCATCCGCTTTGACAAGTCACAGAGTCGAACAGAATCGACTGGCACGACAAGCATCCTCCTCCACGAATCGAGCCGTTCCCGACGAACTAACGTTGTGTCACGTGACAACCTCCACAACCGTCCTAAGCTGCGCACATCCGCAGAGACCAGCGTGCTGCAATTCTTCGGCGACGATTTCCTGCGGCTGCTACTGGTGCGCTACGTGTTTTGCTACGTGGTGCTGAACATGCACCGCTCGTTCAGGGGCCGTCAGCAGAGACCGCGCAGTTACCCGCCTCTACCGGACGCGGAGGTCCTCGAGCACCCGGTCCTCCACCATCTGGTGCTCGACCTGGCAGTCTGCCTCGATGTCCGCGACCACTTCTCGGACAGCAACGAGCTGGCCTGACCCAGGCATCTTCCCTGCTCGGCCCCCGACACGACGTCCCTGTTGCCATCTCACAACCACGATTACGATTACGACTATTGTAATTACAATTGCAACAATAAAATCGTTACACTGAGACCTCATTAAACCGCGTCTTCGCAGTAATCGCGTACTCGGGACCGCGCCCGCGTGCTCGCGCGCGCACGTGCGCGCGCGCACGCGGGCGCGTCCGTGTACTCGGCGCCCCCGGCTGGGATAATCGTTTCGCAAAGGGAAGACACTCGGGGAAGATACCAGGATGGTACGCGAACGTTATCGACGCTATCGAAGCATCGATATCGCTCTACCGATTTCGCATACCAAACATATATATATATATATATATACATAATATAAATATAAATATATATATATATATATACGCGTCGGGACTCACCTCCGTCCGACAACGCGACACGCGAGTTGCACGCTGCGACACGAGAGTCCCTCTCTTATAATTCGATCCGCGTACGAGCGAGTGTACCGCGCGCACCAACGCTTTCGGACTGATATAAGATGTAAGATATAAAGATAAACTGCTTCTCGGTTCTTCGAGTTACACACTTGAAAAAAGAAAAACTGAAAAAAACAAAAGACAAATGCGTTCGCTTGGACTTGTAACATAGGATATATATATATGTATATATATATATATATACACATATATACATATGGAGTGGCAATATAATTTTCGTACGAATAACAAACACACGCCCCTCGAATATATTTGCATTCTCCATTTCGTAATACGCACCGTAAAAAAACAAAAAACGGCTAAAACAATCGACTAACAAACTACGTTTCTGCGCTACTCTGCGTGATTCAAGGTAGACGATGCATCATCATCATCACTGTCATCGTCATCATCAGCATCATTATCATCATCGTCATCATCATTGTCGTCTCTCCGATCGTCTGCGCCGTTCTCGCGATCGGCCGAAGAGCGTCACCCACGCGCGCGCTTGTACGCGTCTCTCTTCTTCATCTCCTCCGCTCGTTTATTTATAAGTAAAAAGTGGAGCGGCGGACTGTGCGGCGAGAAGCTGCGAGAAGCTTGACGCGCGTTGACTGCATGGATGACGACTCGCCGGAATAGACGGCCGGGCGCGACCATGCGAGTCGGAGGGATTAACCGAAGAAATTACTGTGTGCTCACTTGTACGATACATGCGATCTCCCCCGGAAAACGATACTCGACTCGCGGGACTTTAGCGGCCGTGCGGATCGAGTCGAGTTTCGCGTGAACGTCGTTATAGAACTTCTAGCGTTTTAACACACAGTGTATTATATATTTATACAAGCTCTGTATATTCTATATATTTTATAAAATATTGCAAAGTATAGAGCGCGTTTCAGACCTACCGCACCATCTTTCAGTCGCGCGCAATCAATCGTCAGATGAACTCCCGAGGCGGATTCTCTCCTCTCCTTTCTCTTTCTTCTTGCGAGACATGTTCGTATTAGTGCGCCGTTTGCTCCCTTAATTTTGTGCGGATTGAAGCTCGGTCCACAATGTGCTCTTTGCGTTTTGTTTCTTGCTATCTGTCTTCCTTCTGTAAGAACTTCTATTTACTCGTGGAAAAGAAATAGAGATAGCAAGATACAAAACGCAAAGGGCGCATTGCAGGTGAGGCTTAAAGGTCTCTGTTGAAGCGAACCTTGCGACGAAAATTAGCTGACGAAAAGAAAACTGCATTATGTCGTTTACTCATACTCGTAAGACCCGATTCACGACACGACCTCTCGACCTTTGATCGCCTGTGGCTCAAGAACCATCGACTCCGCATCAATATCTTTATCAGTCTAATATTGTCGATTACAAAAAGCGACGCGTAGTACGTCTGGGACATCCCCAATAATATGCTATACGGGTAGCTCGAGAAGAAGATGCTGTGTATATATAATGTTTGTATGATTTAGGTATATATATATATATATATATATACATATATATATATATATATATGTGTATACACACCCACACGCACGCACACACGAACGCACGCACCCACGCATGTACAAGTTATTCCAGAACTATCACAGTTTCCGCCGTCACTTTGTGATTAATTTGAATTCGATCGCTTCGTCATGAGGACGTCGCGAGTCGCGAACGGTGATTGCATTATAAAGGATTACGTACACACACGCACGCACACGCACACAAACAAACAAGGACAAAATTGATACTTCGGAGAAAATTCTCATCGTCGATGCCAATGTCCGTGTACGGATAAGGCGCGCTGGAACGCGCCTTATGCGTGTGCTGCACGGCGGCACATCGGGAATTACGAATGCGTCTCATAATTTCGCGATGCCGACTTTCGAGGAGAACAATGCGGCGCAGCTGCGCGCTCCTCTGCGAATTATTTTTGCATTGACCGAGTAGACGGTATTAAACAAAGTCAACAGACGTTCGGGCATCGCCTAGAGAAGCATTGTGCCTCGCGCGACATAAACCTGGCGCCGCGTGCCAAGGTGTGACACAATCGCCGAATCCGACGGCGCCGTAGTGGACGCGACAATCGGGACTATCTCCGTGTCTCTCTTCCTTAAGTCCGGATCTACGACAGGTGTAGTAAGCATTTAGCCTTTTGCTCCCTGAGCAATGAAATCTAACGCAATTTCCGACAAAAGGCAAAAATCCCTCGCGCTGTCGAATGTGTGGTAAACGTCTGGATCTTAAGAATTCCGACTTCCGATAGCGCCGGGAACGTTTTCTGCTGGGAATTTCGTTGCAATTTAGTACTCAGGACAAAAAGCTAAAGGCTTATAGAAATACTTTCACCGTTTTTATTCCTCTTATGGTCCGTGTTGGCCCGTTTTTAATCCGTTCTATCATTTTTCTGCTCGTTTTTTACGCTCTCAGGCATGCGCAGCCTAGGTAAAAACAACGTTAAGTGATGTCATAATGATGTCGTAATGATGAGAAGATGACTATAAAACTCATTTTTCCATCATATTTTTTTCATCATTTTGACGTCACTTTTACGTCATCGTTATTTTCTGTTCTACCTGGGAGCCTATTAAGCGAAGAAACGTGACGAGTACACGCGATAATGCATGAGTATTTTCGAGGAGATTGCCCGTCTTTAATTCTCATTTCCCAGCTGATGAGTGGCAGCGTGTTAATACGTTCCTTTTTTACTCAACTTTCAACACAAGAAAGTGAAAGAAGCACGTTAAAGAGTCGTGCATTTATTCGTGCTATTTCAAAATGTGCAACGTGAGTGCTTGTGAGTGTAACTTAAACAAATATTTTGTACTCTACTAACTGAATGTACGTTTACACATCTCAAATTTACACAACACTGTATGTGTTTACTACTCAAAAATATTCAATAGTACCATTCGAATATACTAATATGCAATCCACTGTAACTACTCGTTATTACGGAAAAATGCCCTTTCCGACCTAGAAACGGGGTCATACTCACTCAGCCGAATGCACTCATTCATTATTCAAACTAACAGTTTTCGCGGACTAAAAACGGTGAAATAGCTTTGTAAGAGACTCTACACAGTAAAAAAAAACATTTCTCACTTCTGTTAAAACCAGTCCTTGTAAATATTTTAAATTTTTAACATACCCGTTTGTCCATTTAATACACATATTGTGCTTATATCATCTCAACATTTTATGTTGTGTCGATATTCAACACGTGTAAGTGTTAAATTAACACATTTTACACTTCAGTGTCAATTAACGTATCAATTTTGCGTCATAATATTTGTGTTGCTTTTCACTCTGTGTTAAATTATCACAAAAATTTGAGCGGACCATTTGGGATAGGTTAAATTTAATACGAAATTTTTTACCGTGTAGACCTGTTGTAGATCTTGACTGATACGAATTATCGAGGGACACTTTCGGGTTTTATGAACGAATTATGTACGGAAAAAAATTAGTCTTGAATCAAGAATAGATATTCTCATATATAAGCAAAAATATCATAATCTTCTTAGAAGACTGTCAGCCTTGATTGGACTGAATTTATATTCACGCAAGTAGTACTTGAACTCCATTCAAGACTAAAAATCTTCTAAGAAGATTATAATATCTTTGCTTATATATATATGAGAACATCGGTTCTTGATTTAACACTAATTTCTTTCCATGTAAATTTGTTTATACCGCGAGTTTCTCTCCGGCACCAGTGAGAAACGTCATCGTCGCGTTAACCGCGGCAGCGTGCAACCGCTACGATGATTCCGCGACGAGGAATACACCGCGCGCGCGGGTGACCTTCTTCGGCTAATTAAGACACCGGTAAGTGACGCTAACGCATCGCGGAATACCGCAGGTGCACCCTAATTTCGCGCCGCGTTAGTGGCGCGGCTGGCGTTCGGTTCGTCGCTGAGAAATTCCGCTCGTCCGACTGTCACGCGAATTCTGTGAGTGATCTCGCGCGCTCCTTTCTCAGCTTCTCTTTTCCAGACAGTAAACGCGATAGTCGGAGACGCGGTTGGTGTCGACTGGCGTCGACCTTCGCCGATGATCGAAGAAACCGATGCGAACCGACGTTGTTGAACGCGTCGCAGAATACCGCGAACGCGCTTTGGTACTCGGCCAATCGCGAGATCGTAACTGCCAACGGTTCTCTCTCTCTCTCTTTCTCCCTTTCTCTCTTTTTCTCTCTCTTTTTCCTTTAATTCGACAGACCCACATTCATACGAGACATCTTTCTAATTATCCCGAATTAAATTCCTCTCGGTTAATCGCACAACACGATTCGTCACGGCGATTCGCGGCGACCTATCGCGCGGCGCGCCGTGCAACGCACCACCAGGTGATCTCCGCTCGGGCATACCCGAGGTAGTAGTGTCGCGGCCCGCCGAATACCGGGGTTGCTATAAATAATCCGATGTCCGCTCCGGTCGCGCTCGCGGTGGACAGCCGAGGTTGCAGAGAGTCGTCTAGGAGCCGCTGCAGCGGGATGCTCTAGCGACTGCTCAGCCTCCTCCTCTCTCCACTCTGTCTCTCCCTCTCTCTCTCTCTCAATCTCTCTTTCTTTCTCTCTTTCTCTCTATTTCTATCCATTCCTCTTTCTCTCCCGCCCTCCGATCGAGAGGTGAAGAGCGTCTCGTGGACGACGTCAACGAGCAGGACATCGCTGTGCGTCGGACACGGGAGGAACGACGAAACAAAGTCGTCGTCGTGGCTGCCGCGTTCCCGACGTCGACGTCGGGTGGGTAGACAGACAGGCAGAGGAAGAGGAGACTGGAGGTGGGTTAGAGCGGGACCTCCGTGGCTTCCACGGGGGTGGGGATGGAGCCGGAGCAACGAGGACGCGCTTCGCGGGCGTCGTCGACGTCCAGCCTCGGACGCGAGGTCCGTTGCGGCTGTCAGTTCTACCAGAGCGACTCGCTTCTGCCGGAACGACGTGCTCTCCTCATCAGACCGTCATCCAGGACGATGCAGCAGCCACCTGCGGTCCGCTGCAGGTCAGTACATCTCGCGCACACCATCCACGAACGACACGCATATCCCACCATGACGGACTCGTCGGCGTGAAAACACGATCACCCACCCTCGCATGGGGTAGCTCATAACGCAAGGTGGTCTCTCTCTCTCTCTCTTTCTCCCTCCCTCCCACTCTTTCCCCGTTTCTCTCTCTTGTTCTCTCTTTCCCTCTCGCTCTTCTCCCCTCTGCGAGATTGCCCGTTCGACCTGTCCGTGTTACCATCGTCGACATTGGTTATACATAGGGTATAGGTTACACCGTGCGAAACCGCGTCGCGGATCGCCGCGGCTATTTAAGGTTCGCCCGGCTGGCTATAGATAGAAAGCTCGGTCAGCTCCCGAATCTGCCAAGTCCAGTTCCCCGTGCGTGCGTACGTAGCTGGCGCCCACGAGCCGTGTCCACGCGCACCGGTGCGACCAGCCAGCCCGCGCCAACCCTCCTGGAACGGAGCTGGACGGGATCGTCAAACTGCAACGGACTTGTTCGATAACAGACACCGGGATCAGTTTCTAATCGCATCGATCTCCCGATGTCGCGGAGGCATGCCGAGACTCTCTCTCTCTCTCTCTCTTTTTCTCCCTCTTTCTCTTTCTTTCTACGTTCATTCCCGGCGATTGTTGACGATGGAAACACGGTAATCGAGACGTAAGCTGCATCCCGCACGGGTCAGATAAAAATCCTTCCGAAAGATACCCGGAGAGATCGACAGTACCCACCCCCTGACTGCGATCTCGTCCGGGCGTTCGCTTCCTTCGCGACCATTTCGCGCCTGCAGCACGTAGGACGTTCAGATTCAACGACCTTGTAAAATCCTGATTTATGGCGGACACGGAAAACACAGAGAAAGAAAGATCCACTTTGAGCACTTGGAAAAAGTGCCGGCGGGAAGGCGGTCGACCGAACTGGGTCGAGCCCCGATACAAAAGAGATTTCACGGGCGAAACATGAATTCTCGCTACAGTGAGCACGAATACGAACCGATCGCGCCGCCGTCGCTGCCGCATCCGGCGATGGCGCCGGTCGTGCGGATCACCGACACGGACGTGATGCCCGTCGCCGACAGCGACGACAGCATCGACGACCGGGGGGCTCGGCTGCCGGCCGAGCTGATCTTGGACGGCGACTTGGTGCTCCCGTTGGACGGCAAGATCGAGGACAGCGCGATGGAGGGTCGCGAGCTCGGCGAGACGACCTACGGCGACACCTCCGAGGAGCAGGAGCCTCCACCGACAGCGCAGCAACTCCAAGACAGACTCGAGGAGCGGTTCCTCGACGCGCCCACCCCCTACACCGAGTCCAGGACGGACGGCGAGGTCAACACCAGTCAGGTAAATAGCGTGCCGTGTCCGCGCCGATCGAGCGGACACGGGGACCTATTTTAATCCTTCGCACCAGCGTGTCCGCTCTCATCTACCGGGCTGAAAGAATTGAGTTCTCTTTTCTTTTTTTACTGAATTCTTTATGAAGAAATTTAACGAACTTTTGTAGGAGCGAAGCACGGCTGTGCTGAATATTCTCGATTAATCTCGCGCGCGGTGCGTCTATCTTTCACGCTTAAACTAATCTTTGCGTCCCAGTGATGTTATTGTAAATCCAATTTCTCTGAGAAACTTTCCATTCAATTGCTAAATTAATTAGTAGGCGATTTTTTTATTCCACTTCATCATGTTGCGAAAAATACTGCCTCAGCCAGCAGTTGAACCTGTACATTCACCACTTTCCGGGTGGGATGCCTTTTATTCCACAAATAAAATTAATACCGATAATATTCATATTCTAATGACACTATAACATCCGTGTTTTGCTCCTAAAGACCCTTTTGTTAAATTAAATTTCTTCAGCTCACCTTAATCAAGGGTTTAAATTATTTTAATCATTTCTTATCGCACGTTGTGATTCTTTCTATTTCGTAACTTATTTCAGTTTCAGAAGTATTTTTAATTCAGAATCATTCGGTTTAAATATTTTACTTATTTACTTTTAAGTATTTTATCATTTCATTTTTTTTATTCATTTTATTTATTTAATTCCAGAAGATTATATAATATTCTTTCGAAGATACATGAAAAAGAATCATGGCAAAATCTCGCGGGACCTAGAAATTGTGTACATTTCTTCCTTATATTCTACACAAAAGGAACAAATCTTATCAAGAGCTAGCTTAAATTTATCACTTTATTCGGGTGCGAAGGGTTAACTCGGAGCATTCGGCTGACCCTTCCGGCTACTCATCGACGCGAGCGCGATTTGTTCGGATAAAATAAAATGGGATTAAATATAGCTGGCCAGGCAGAAAGAGAGAAAGAGAGCTGACGCACGCGCGAATCGATAGGAGAGCCACGGAATTTCAAAGGGAATCGTAAGACCGGAGAAAACCGGCTCTTATTGTCTCTTCAGTTCATTACTCGCGCGCCGAAGAATGGGTGACTATATTTAGCGAAATCCGCGCGCGAAAAAAAAAAAAGAGACTGGGACGTGTCACTGTCCGATTGTGCAATCGCGCTCGCGTCACGTTCCAGAGAACGCCCGAGCTTTTCCATCCGTTGCGCAATCGCGACCAAAAATATATGCCAGCTCTCGTAGCGTAGCACTCGAGGTATTAATCATCCCCCGACCTTGTTATTATTTTTCAATGAGAACGTCGATCGAATCGCAGACAAGAAGTACGAATTCGACGCCACGCGTGAAGAAGGACCCCGTGATTGACGTGATTGACGCGCTCGACGGCAGAATTTCCGGCCTATTTTCGTCAAGCTCGAAGAAGCTCATTTCGAGTCCGCGAAAATTCAAAGTCCTTCTAAGAAGAAATCGAACGATGTACCTATTACAAAGATTAGAGGAATTATGAAGATTCGTCGTCTCCCGACGTCGTTAGATTGTTCAATGACGCTTCTTCTATCCCGAATCCTCTCTCTCTCTCTCTCTCTCACAGAAGCATTCCCGCCGCTTGCAGGTAGACTCGTCGACGATGGAGGAGCTGCCGCTTCGGCGGGGCGCGCGCGGTCTGCCGCAACGCCTGAAGACCCAGGCCAGCAAGCTGCGTTCTCGGCTCCGGGGGATCCAGCGGCCCACGTTCACCTTTCCGCAACGGAAGAAAGCCGAGAAGACGGCGCGATCATCAGCCAGCGGTGGTGGCAAGTCGGACAAGTCCCGCGCGTCGGAGAAGAGGCCCAGTCGGATGGACCGAATCAGGACGTCCATCTCCGAGAAGACGACGAAATTCAGCCTGCCGGACCGGCCGAAGTTCAGCCTGCCCGATCGGTCCAAGTTCCACCTGCCGGAGCGACCTAAGTTCAACTTCCCGGACAGGTCGAAGTTCACCATCAAGAAGCCCAGCATCCGCCTGGCGGACGCTCTCGCGCGCGTCAAACGGCCGCCCTCGCTGCGCGAACAGCAGAAGCAACGCTCGACCGAGTCGACCGCCGGCTCGAAGCGCAACATCTTCGACTTCGCCACGTACCCGCGCATCTTCGACAAGAAGTCGAAGAGGCGCGGCGAGTACGCGACGTCGTCGCCGAAGGACTCTTCCCGAGCACAGTCGGCGGAGAGCGCGACGTACCCGCGCGCGCGGAAGGGCAAGCCTCTGGGCGCCAAATGGGCGCGACACTTCGGCAACTCGTCCTCTCAGGAACGCGCTGAGGCGACGGCGAGCGACGGCTCGCCCCCGTGGCACCAGGCTTCGCTGGAGGAGCCCCAGGAGCCGAGGCTGTCCGTCCGAACGGAGGAGGAGATCATGGCGGCGGCCCGGGCGATCCCGTGGGAGGACGCGAGGAAGGAGCGACGCTACGACGACGACGAGGAGATACAGTACATGGACTACGAGCAGGAGTCTTCGCAGGAGGTGTCGGACCACCGCCAGCCACCGCCGAGGAGGTCCCACAAGGCGTCGAGGAGGAAGGAGGAAGAGTCCTACGAGCCTGAGGAGGAGCCGAGACTGTACGGCGACGAGGAAGCGAAACATGCTCCCCGAGACGAAGGGGAGGATCAGGAGGATTGGCGTTCGGACGAGCGGGTGGTGCTCGAGGAGAAGTTCAGACCGATCCCGAGGTCGCGATCCTTGGACGAGGACATGCCGCGCGTTCTGGAGGAAGCCGGCTACGAGGGTGCGTTCATGGCGGTGGACCCGCGGCGGTTCCGCAAGATGGCGTCCGAGGAGGAGGAGGAAGAAGGGCCGGAGATGGAGGAAGACCTGGAAGAGCACGAGCCCTCCTCGACGCGGTCCGATCGGGAACAGCAGCACTCGAGCGGCAGCTCCTGCGACCGCAGACGCCGCGGGGTCATCGAAGAGATCGACTCCGACGAGTTCTTCCTGAGGGCGAGCGGCATCAGTCAGGACGACATGAATCTCGGCAGCTACCTGCCGGACGAGATCCGAGACGCCCTCAGGGCGGAGATCGTGTGCGCCTTGCAGGACGAGGAGATGCCGCCCCAGCGTCCCGTGAGAACGCGCTCGTTGAGGAAGCGGAAGGAAGAGGATTCCATGGAGGTGGAGGAGGAGGAGGAGGTCGCGCCGCCGGTCAGACCGAAGAGGGAACGCGGGGCGCGGCGCAGCCGGGAGGCGTCGATCGTCGACGAGGTCTTCCGCGAGCGCACCCGGAGCGACTCCAGACATCGCGTGGTGTACCAAGCGGAAAGTGCGATCCAGCCGGAGCCTCGAGAGCTGGAGCCGCTGGACGACATAGTCGTGGTGAAGCCGGCGCGGAGGAAATCCAGGTCGTCGCTGCGCAGCCAGTCGCAGCCGCCGCTGGAGACGTCCATACTGTCGGCCTCGACACCACCCGCCACCATCGTGCCTCCCATGGAGTCGTCGTCGAGCCCCTTCCTCTCCGCACCGCCGCCGGCCGTGCCGATGCGCAGGAAGCGCTCGCACCGGGACACGGTGGCCGACCGGAGGAACGTCGAGCCGATCTGCAACGGTCATCGCGACTGGAAGATGGAAAGCGCGGCTTCCAAGAAGGCGCCGACGACACCGGTGAGACGGTCGCAGCAGCTGCTTGCCGAGGGCGACGTCGTCGCGAGTCGGGACGACGTCGAGGAACTGATCGGGCCGAGGAACGCTACACCGGTGCCACCGAAGAGGAGGTCCCGCTCGAGGACGACGTCGGTCGCCGCCGATGAGGACAGGACGTCGCACGGTGCGGAGTCCCTGCCGGAGGCGGGATACGTGGAGGAGGACATACCGGCGGACGAGAGCAGCTCGGCGCGCGACCTCTCCGGCTACGCGATCGTGGAGAAACGGGAGAAACCGCCGAGGCCGCCGCCGCCCAGGAGAAGACGCGACAAGTTCGCCACCACGCCGAGGTCGGCCGCACCGAAACGACCTCAGCGAGCGTACAGCACCCTCGGACCCGCCAGTAGGTTCGCGGGCCCCCCGAGCGACACGGTCACGTCGGAGACGACGATCACCGTCAGCACGACGCCGACGCTCTTGGCAGCCGACGAGTTCACACCGTACATCGAGATCGACTTGGACGACGAGCACAGGGACGAGGTGCTCCACAAGATCCAGGGTCGCCCGTTGCCGGCACCACCGAGACCACCCAGGGCGAAGAGGGAACATTCGGTCGTCGAGCGACCTCGCACCCCGTTCGAGTTCGCGGAGACGACGGCGGCTACGCAGACCGACCCGCTGCCCGACGACATGGTGATCGAGGAAGAAGTGACGCAGGCGAAGCTCATAGTGACGCCCTCCAGGTCGGGCTCGCAGGTGATGGTGTCGATGGAGCGCATACCCAGTCCGTCCAGGACGGGCACACCGCCGGTACCGCCGTTGCCGTTGATATCACACATCCTGAGGAAGGATGAGGAGCGAGAGGAGGAGCGGGAAGATGAGATCGGTCGGATGGCGTTCGACACGGTGTCGTTGACGGCACCGTCGCCTACGAGGGAGACCGAGCGGACGAGCAGGCACATGTCGGCGCCGCATCTCCAGGAGCGAAGCAGAGAAGAGGAGGAGTTACGAGCGATCAGGTCGGCCCTGTTCTCCGACGAGCCGTTGAGGATCAGCAGTCTCGAGGTCGGCGATCTGAAGGTCGACCGGCTGAGCGTGTCGCAGATCGAGGCGCACAAGATCGTGGCGTCCGAGGTGGACGCGATGGTGATCGCAACGTCGGAACTGCGAGGCGGCGGCACCATGGAGGAGCGCTTGTCGCCGGCCATCATCAGGGAGCTGATAGCCATCAGGAGCCACTTGGAGACCGTGGCGATTTCCCAGGCGCGAGAGAGACAGCAGCAAGAGTGGGAAGAGGCGGTGAGTCGCCGAGTGACCGACGTTCCCGCGCCGGAAGCGAGCGAGGAACAGCGGCTTTCGCGGGCAGTGGCGGAGGAGGTGTCCGGCGACGAGGCCGTCGAAGCGATGCGCGTCGAGCCGCCAGCTGTGGAAGATGAGGGGATGCCCGGGGAGGCTGGCGAGGAGCAAAAGGTTGTTAAAACTGACGTATTAGATACCCAGGATAAGGAAGCACCACACACCCTCTTCTCAGTCGCTCCCCCCGTTGCAAGCCCAGACTCCCTTCTCTCACAGACACTTACGATAGATCAGTTAGAGTCAACGGGTAGAGACGAGCCCGTCACACACCACCCGCTTACAATTACAGCCGCTCAGGATACTCAAGATAAGTCGTTACGAATTTTAGATTCCGAACACCCCCTTACTTTGAGCTCGCCAGCCACCACGTCGGGCCCCCACGTGGTGGACGAATCTCGTGCCTCGTTCCCTCCGGCGTCGGACGTGCCCACGAGCCGGTCCTCCGAATTGAGGGTATCACCGGAACGCGCGGCCGAACCTCCGAGTAGCTCTGACCAGACTACTTCTACTATTTCTACTACTACTACTACTACTACCACCACCACTACCACTACCACCACTACCGAGTCGACCGCAACATCTACGTGTCTTCGTGGCTGCGACAAGGACGATGCGTCCGACAGCACAGAACAAGTTCCTCGCAAGTCGAGATCTAGATCCCCCTCGCCAGCGAGAGGTATCACGCGGCAAACCGCGTCGCCGGTCCGCTCATTGCCGCCGGTCATCTCGGTGACCCCGGACACGCCCGACGCGACACCGGGCCGCGATATCTCGATAGACGCTCGGCCGCAGCGTGCCGTTATTTCCTATTCTTCCGATGCGGAACACGACGCCCCGAAGTACGCCGCTCAGCGTGCCGTCATTTCCCAAACTTCTGACACGGGACGACCCCCTCAGACTGGACAAAGGGAGTCCTCTCAATCGCCAGTACCCCCCTTCCCCCTCAGCACGACACATTTCATTGCTTTCCCGGCCTCCGAGATTCCAGGCCAGTTCTTCTCTCTGAGCGACACACCGACGACGACGACGAGCCAACGTGATACCACCGAAGAGCCCGGTGTTGCGGACGCTACGCAGCAGCTGCTCCACGCTCTCCGTACGGCCGGCATAAGAGCCATGAGGCACTTCACGAGGTACCTGGCGTCGACGTTGAGGAGCGACGACACGGTGGAGAAGGTCAGAGAGGTGGAACTGGCGATATGTGCCCTCTTACTTCTCATCGCAGGCTTGTTGATATATTACTTCGGTAGCACGCGAACTGTAACGTATTATCACCACTGGGATTATTTTAATCCGCCTCAATAAACACGGTCGGTCTGCAATGCACGATCCACATTTGCCTATACATACTGCATATACCGATTCGCGTATAGGGTTCACTGGTTCGTAGAAATTAAAATTTCATATTCTTGTAAATTTATTTTGTATAACAATATAATTTCACGTCGGAGAAAATGATTGAAAAGCAAAGAAAAAAAAATGTACGTATGCAGAAATAGAACGGAGTGAGAAATTGAAAAACGGAATTGTAGCTCTTGTACAAATGTCGAAATAATGTAACGAAATGAAGCGAAAGACAGGTTTGTAAAGAAATAAATTGTATTACACCGTATTGTGCCAAATATATAATTATTCCGAGCATCACAGATATATAATTGTATCGAAGCACGCAAAATGTCTAATATATCATTAATGTAAGAGGTATCTATCGGATATATGAACTCCTGGGTATCCGCAATGATAAGGTGTAACATTCGAAATAAATAGCATAAATATTATTTAAGAAAGTAGATATGAAATATATTCAAATGACTATGTAACTTGCATCGTGTGCAAGGCAGTGACAACGAAGGTATTTCTACCTTAGTCTTTATTGAAAAAGATCCTCTTCGTACACTTTAAGATCCCGCCTATCTTTGTGCACACTTTTCTGAGAATAGTTAGCTGCAATCGGTGACCACATAGAACTAGACATGGCATCGGTGACGGGTTCGATTATAGGTTGCCTCCTGGCTAACGATACTTTCAACTGGATCGAAGAAACCATACTGCCGTCCATTTCGCTGATCGCTCTTTCGGCTGCATCAGCTTTCTCGAAAGTTATAAACCCACGGCTATAAAAAACGAAAAGAAATTATAGAACCAATTATTGTTGTATCTATAGTTGTATGTCTATAGAAATATTTCATATGTTAAATTCCTCAATGTACACGTCATTATTTAAACCTAACCTGTACGACAGTAAAACATCCTGTACTTACTTCTTCTCCACTTCCATCGAGATATTAATGATATTCCCAAAACTCTGGAAATGTTTCTTAAGGTAATCCTCTGTTATCTTATAACCACACACGAATATTGTGTTTCCTCCTCGTGGCTTAATTTCTGGCTTAGCTACAGATTGCGTGTCAGCGACGTTCTTGTCGTCAGTATTTTCAGCGCTGACAAAACTATCGTACAAGTCTTTTACTCTAGGCCTTGCTGCTTCCGTTTCCTCCTCCTCCAGTTGAGTGGCTGAGAATGGTTGGTAAGAGCTAATGGTTTTCTCTGTACTGTTCAATTTTCTCTCTAAACCACGGGGTCTCTTGAAAGTTTGTTCCGGTCGCTTGGGTATTTTCGGAGCTGTAATTACACCGGACTTAATCAACTTCTTGGCGACTTCGCGCGCATCTCTCGCCTCCGTCGGTCGTTTTGGCGCTTGAGGAATACGTTCTGCTTCCTGCTTGGGAGCTTTCAGATCTTGCAATGCCTTTTTCTGTAATATCAAGAAAACAACGGTGCGCATGTATTCGATGGTACGTAAAAAAATCTTTGAGTACCAATGGAATATCTATCGATCTGATATAAACGATTAATAAAATAATCTTCAATATTGATACAAGTCTAACCTTACACTACGTACCTTTCTTTTAAGTTTGTTATATTTAGCCTGCAGCATCATTTCCTCCTCCGTGTATTTATTCGACGGAAAATGTAAGTAAACCATATTTCACACGTGATACAACGATAAATATCCCGAAAATGTTTAAGAGAGTTTATCGAACCACGCTTTCGTATTGTTTACGGGTGAATGACAGGAGAGTCCTGTTGATTTTACCACGACTTTGATTTCTCGTCGGGAAAAGTGGCGGCTCGTAGCGGAGACTTCTGAACTAATTTTCGAAGTGGAATAAGGGGTCAAGCAATTCCTTTGACTCGTTATTACTCTCGGATATCAGTATTAGACTTTGAAAAGTTTCCGCTACGAGTCGCCACTTTCCATTCCAATGGCACTCCAGCCCGAATCGAGCTTTAGATTCTAAAATACTAAAACTAACCTAAAAAAACCCTAAAGTCAATTCTTTCCATTTATTCATTGTGCAAAGTTTCAATTATAAACGATCACAATATGTATCAATTTGCTTATGAATAATATTAAATATAAAGGTAAAAATATTATCTATTTGTTAGAAATCACACAAATTATATTATATAATACATTGTAATACAATATATATATTATTTATTAATTTTGTTGTTCACTTCTGTATGATTACTTGCGTTACTTTAATGTTATATTTTCAATATTTATAATATTTATATATTGCAAATTTTCAATATTTATATAGAAATTATGAGTTGCCTTTCGTTTTCTTAATTTAAATATTAGTGCGCTGCTACTACCAAGAACATGGCGGCATGTCACGTGACTTCAGACGTTAATATCAAACGGACCGATTCGGAATGCCACTACTGGTTATACATATACTGTGGTAATTTCGTGTAACAAAAATTTTGGAACCTACAGAAGCATCAAACGGACCGCACCCATCATTCGTGACGCACACTGCAAGTTTTATTTAGCTTGCCCACAGGGTTTCGCAATATAATGTAAAAATAAATTTTGAATGTGATCACACTTTCTTCCTTTTTATTACGTACTGAGGACCACAGTTTACCGTAGTTCGCACGATGAGGAGGGTCACATGGCGAGACAATGATCGGGTAAGGAATTTACTCAACAAACCTTCACTCCAAAACAATAACGCGCAATTAAAATTGTAACAATTCTCTCCTGTATCCGTTACATATAACTAATGTATTGATTCTCCGAACTATATAAGAGCATTTTTTTTTTATTGAATAATTATTAATATCGATGGCGATAATTTTAGAATTGTAAGCACTTGATAGTTTATGAAATTTTATGAACACACAATGTTTCTTATTATTTATTTATTTATTTTTTAAATTGAAATATCAATATCAAAGCGATAATTTTCGAATTGCAAACACTTGACAATTTATGAAATCTTATGAACACGCATGTTTCTTGTTACTTATTTACGTGCTGATATTTATTTTATATACTCAGGATTTCCGGCAACCACTACCAGGTGGAGAAACAACAGGAGCTGAATTAACGTATGCTCTGTATGAAACAAAAACAGAATTCCAACCATTGCCAGGATCAAGTTATGATCCTAATATTAAGGACCTGCAATACTTTCGAGCTCATCAAAAGATTGACTGTGACGAAGTGTATCCTAGAATATATATTGGCAATGGGTGAGCATACAAAAGTACAGAAAAATTAGAACAAATTAATAACAAAGCTAAATCATTCTGAAACTAAACCATCCCAATGATCTCCTTACGCAGCGTGACAGCAAAGAACAAGAAGTATCTTGAAATGCTAGGTATAACTCACTTACTGAATGCCGCCGAGGGGAAAAGATTTGGATTTGTCAACACGGATAGTGATTATTATGCAGATACAAATATCAAATATTACGGTATTCTAGTCACAGATTTACCTACAGCAGACATTAGTAAATACTTCTACACAGTAGCTGATTTTATTGATGAAGCAATGTCCACAGGAGGTAACTTGACTATGTTAATCTTCTATCTTTCATCGTGATATGATATTCATTACACAAATTAAAAATTTCCGTTTGTCTCAGGTAAAGCTTTCGTACATTGCATGCAGGGTGTATCTCGCAGTGCCACTTGTGTCCTTGCATATTTAATGATAAAAAAGAAAATGTTAGCAGTCGACGCCTTGCGAATGATCCGTGTATGTCGAGATGTCCATCCAAACGCTGGTTTTCTCGAACAATTAGCACGATTAGACAATCGTTTGCGCAGACAACAATTGAAGTCTCGTTGTTGAACATGTAATTATCACGAACCTTGCCAAATATATGTGAAAATTTTAATGTTTCTTTAATCAAGTCTTGCTCCCGCTTATAGAATCATTGAAATTTTCTGTAAGAGTCAGGACTTTTTATGTATATTTTAAATATCTATAAAGAAAATTATATATGTATAAAATGAGATATATCTGTTGACGTAATTCAAGTTACATTTAATCGAGAAATATTATTTAAGAAAATGTGTATTTTATGAATGTTACAAATTATATCCCTGTAATAAGACAAAAAATTAGTTAGTATTTGTAATCTCTCACCCTTCAACTTTTGCGTGAAACGACACAGATTTGTAAAACGCATCCTGTATATTTCTAATTAAGTATATAAGGATCAGAGGGAATAAAATACGGGTAATAATATATTTAAATAGCAAATTCAGACATTTTAGTATTTCATTGTTAATAATTATAAATATAATTTGTTTCATAACTTCGGTGTATTATACAGAGAATAACCCTTAATCGTCGGTGATTGGAGAATTTTAAATTACAATCCATATTAGTGTCAATAGAGATATATTCCGTAATTTTACAATTAACTTATCCATAAAAAGGATCAAATGTGTATTTTCACTGTCTCTTAAATTTATTGTTATCTATCTTGCTAAAAAGACACAGCGTCGACATTCTTTCTCATTCAGTGATTATAAAAAAGAAAGAAACAATGATCAAACTATGTTTAAAGCCTAGCTCGAGTGATAAATAAAATGTTAATAGAGGATAACAAAATAAATAAAGATGCAACAAATAGAACTATTAAGTTACCACTTGGTCCAGTTTATCAATCTTTCATCTTTAGAAGAAAAAAGGAAAAAAAAGAGGAAAAAAGGGAAAGAAAAACAGTTAACAGAATGCCATGTGAAAGCAGGTTTTAAGCAGATAAATATTGGTGACTAAAGCAATGAACATTCTATTTTTGGAAATTAGGAATATTTACGTTATCTTTTCTCTGTAATTGCGGCAAAACAAGGTAAATACTGCACAAAATATGAGGACGAGCTCGTAATCGTATTTCAGTACCGCCGACTCTCGAGACAGATTAATATATCGTTAAGAAACACTCGATATATTTTTTCAAACGTTACTCGTCGTATATGTAACGTTTTAAATTTTAATCAAACATTTCCGATGTGCATCCAGGTATGAATAAAATCGAAAGCTTGAGTATTCCTTTGAGAACAGTGTTCAAGCGGGTGCTATATTAGGTTTCAATTTTTCAACTAAAAGTGTATTACAACTTATTCCAACATAAATTTCGCTAGTACAAATCGTATCTTACACATTCTCTTATTTTGTTCATTTGGGCCGTTACTATATGTAATGTAATGGATGCGTACCCGCGGTAATTACAGTATAATCCGAAAACTATTTCGCAATAACAAATATGCAATAAATATACGTTACATCTACGCTAAACATTACAAAGACGTAATTAATTTGCCATACAACAGCCAACATCGTTTTAAAAATAATGCAAAACACGCGAAAAACTTGTTGTAAAGTTTCTTTCCCTTAGAGGAATCACTTTCATTCTGCTGTCATGCCACACATTTGTTGCCACTAAAGCGATTTAATTAAAACGATATGTATGGGAAATGTAGTATAAATTTTATGTTTTTTAACCCTTCCAATGCCATGTTTTTTGCAGTAGAGAGAAGAAAGCGAAAGTTATTTTAAATTAAATATCTAGTAAATGCAAAATAATATTTTTAACCTTGATTCAACACATGGTATAAAATATAAAAAGCTTGCACATTTTCGCGTAAAAATAAATTTAAAAAAAAACTTACACTGATACAATATTTACAGTTAAATTACACAAGAAAACTCCAAATTAAAAAATAATAAATATGACCAGAAATTAATCTCTTCTTGTGCATATATTGATTATATCGTAACAATATTTTTCATAACCGTTCTTTTCAAAAACATTTTTCATAATCATTTCAGAAATTACGCAAGGTATAATAATGAATATAAATCATGAAATATAAAACCCCAATATCAAATATAAATATAAGCGAATAAGTTTACCCAGCAGTATGCTACAGGATTTGTACGTCAATAATATGGCGAGGAGAAACAAATAATATCCCGTTTCACTCGAGATTCCTCTCTCTCAAAAATGATTGCACTATTGTCTTTGAACGTTATACATTAATAGCGAATAGCAAATAATAGTTAAATGATTAATTAAAAGATAATCAATACGTAACTAACATATCTGTTATTAAAAGATTAATCACATTTGTACATGTGGGTTTCGGCACAAGTCGAGTTAATGCTATTAGTACAAATGATCGGATTCGGAAGATGGTGATAAAAGTTATTGAAGCCTCCGTTAAGAAAATCGTAAGCTCAATTAGCAGAACAGAAGAATGTCGTCTATTGTTTGGCATTAAAAGGGTTAATAAACATCGTTATACCAGAGACAAGTGACAACAAAAGGAACGATGACGAAAGTGTGTTGGACGAAGGTGATGCCTTTCGATACTAGACGTGTATGAAAGCCTTTCGACGAAAAGATCAATGCCTTATATGTTCCTTTAAACAAGTATATAGAGAGGTGTATGTATATAAAAATTGTCTACAGTGGGAAATCGAGCAGATTCGCCAAAATAAGGAAGTGACAGGAATTCAAGTTACGTAGTTATGCAAGAAACTGAGAAGTCAATAACTCGCATATATGAACTTTCGTCGAGCGTATATCAAGAAATTTCTTCACCGCCCACCTCTCATCGGTTTCGTTTCCTTTCGTTTCTTAATCGACAATTGTGCTCTTTAGTTGGATTTCGCATAGATGGAAAACTGATTCAACAGACCGGATATTATCAGATATTTTATACTCCATACGAGTCCTAGAAATCTCAACACTTGATGCGATAACCGAGACCCGAAATGACGTGTTACTATATATCTCATGAATCCAAACAATTTCAAAAGTCTAATAATTACAAAAAGCCGAAAACCTTCAGGAACGCGGAAGCTTCGAAATGCTGAAGACACACTGGAACACAAAACACTCGGCATTTGGTGAAATTTTGATTTCACAAATGGCCAACATACAAACATCTTGTGTGCAAATGTTTTGTGTTCGCACACTTGCCTATTTAGCAACTGATTTTTAGGAGATGCGTGTTCTCTCTCTATGGACGATCATTTGGTATCCAAATATATTTTAAGTGCTCTCTCCCGACGTGGACTGTAACTCGAAGTAGTAGAAAGCGGCGTTAAGCGTGAATTCTCTTTAAAAGCGATTTCCATTACCTCGTCAGGATTTAGTCGTTTCGGATTTTCCCTACTATCCCTAAAATTTAAGAAACAGTCATGATTAAGATATTCATTGACAGATCAAATTCAATATAATGTATATATATATTATAAATAATAATAATAATAATAATAATAATAATAATAATAATAATATACCTATATAAGTAGACGTCACCATCTTCGAAGTTGATAGACAGACTATCATTATGTTCGTTCCAGTCATGCTCGTTTTGGATTCGCAACACGGAATTGTCGCACGGAAAAGCGCCTTTCCCCTTCGCTATATTGATATATTCCTCCGGAATATCTGATATCGAGGAGAGCTAAGAATAAGGGAGATCAATGAAAATTAGTTCCCGTATATCATCCTCTTCCATCTTTCAATAAAAAAAACAAATAACTTTCCCCGCGCGACTTACCTTCTTCTTTAGTTTTTCGACGGTTCTATTCTCCAGAACTATCTCCTGGAACTGCTCCAGCACTAACTTTGCCGGCAACCACCTCCTGACAAACAAGACAATCTGATTGGAGTCCGTGACCGTCTCTTTATCCGGCAGCTCTTGAATAATCATCTCGAATTGCAAGTGTGACCGGAGGTCGTCGAACTTCTGCTCGTCCAAGAACACCTTCGACGCTGTTTTGCAATATTTTTCTCTAAGCCTGCATCTTTCATACGGTATGTCGATGTCGTACTTTCTCTTGATCTCCGCCAGTATCTCCTTCTTCGCTTGTCCGACCGTCATGTTTTTCGAGACGATCCATTCGCACAAAAATTTGTAAGGCTGAACGAAATATTAATCGCGTTAGATAAAAGATATCGGCGATATATATTGCGACGATACTTTGTATGCACATGTAGGAAGAGAACGATCATTATCGTGCGTACCTCAATAGAGTCGATCAATAACTGATACAGTTTCACTTTGAATTCTCCACTACGCAGGGCACGTCCGAGTTTTATGCTGAGCCTTTCGCCGTCGTTGTACGAGTTGAGCTGTTCTGTCAAGCAGCTGCACTCCGATTCGCCGGTATCATTCGATAGGCGAAAAACTTTGAAGTACTCCACGGATACACCCACGAGCGGCTCCAGTTCTTTCTTCAAGGTACTCAATCTCATTCTCTTGTCTACTAATACCTTAAGTACTGCGAAACAAGAAGACAGCATCGAATCAAGACACCGACCGATATACGACGTCACTAGAAGTCGCTAGAAAAAAAGAAAAAGGTTTGAATCGAATGACTCACGTTTTTGAGTGCTATCCATGTGCGGCGTCGCTTTGAAATAGCAATCAGAATCGTCACCGATGTCCCAGTTTTCTATCTCGAACTGCTTCGAAATCTCCGCGTCGCGGAAGCGACGGGGCTCCCATGAAGTCGGCGGTCGGGGATCCTCGTCCTCCGGTGCGTCGCCTACCAACGTTTTGTCGCTGTCGCTGAGGCTACTGTCCTCGCTGTTACTCTGCTCGGGAGTATTCCACTCCTCGGCTTCTCCCAACTGAGGGCTTATGTTCCGTATGGTGGTGTCCTCGTTGCTACGTGCGACGCTACCTTTGGAGGCTTCATTATACTTCGAATTTACGTCCCAATGTGACTCGGTAACGCCCAGTTTCGGCAAGCCGTTGCTGATGGGTTTCTCCTTTTCCTCGTATTTATCTACCAATGACGGGATATTCAATTCCTCCAACGCTTCTGCGTAAAAAATTGTTTGTAATTTAGTAATCATTATATTATATAATCACGTACCTACGAATATATATATATATATATGCACAAATGACTCACCTTTGCTGATATCCGGCAACTGAATGTGTAGGGAAATAACGTACTTGAAGTTCTTTATGATCTTATACACCGTCGATTCTTGAAGAGGTTTGTTATTATCAGTATCGTTCATCGTTAATACGAATACTTTTTTCACGTTATAAATTCCTTCAGTCTGAAGATCGCTATCGTCGTTTTCCACGAGATCATACGAGTCTGAGTACTTTGGTAATATTATTTTCATTTGTTTAGGATCCATATTAATTACTTTTCCTACGGTTTGTTTATACTCTTTAACACTTTGCGACAATAAACCTCGGATATTGATCGGACCGTCAATTACCTCCTCTCTAGCTACATCTATGACAAACACCTTTGTGGCAACTCCTACGGGATGAACGTGATCAGAGATTCATCGTCGGTTTGACTACTTGTGATTACATATATATATAATACATAATTAGCTGTGCAACACATGCGTGCGCACATGCGGATGCGTGCATACTTACCACCTGGCAAGAATGTCTCGAACTTCTGATCTTTACGGCGAATTTCTAACAACAAATCGAATCCGTGTTGATTCTGCCAAATACTAGCAACGGACTCTTGCTCTCTGTCATCGTAACTACATTCTATCAGGTCGATGTTATGGTCGTAACTAACTAAACGACACTGATCCAGATTCACGATGTTCTCAAGGCCGAATTTCTTGTACGCTTGCTCAGTCGCTTCGACCCAAGTAGTGTCGGCCATAAGGTATAACTTGATGTCCATCAACTTCCCCTTCACCGGATGATGACAGTAAACCTTCAGCCTGGGTATCGACATCTGTTTCTCGCGATTTTTCCTGTCATTATCCTCGCTCTCCTTCATCTTCTTCAGTAATTCCTAAAAATAAGCACCGTATATGAGATAACATACTAATATACATGTGGGATTTTTCATTCGAAACTCGAACGTCTCACTACCTGGATATGTCGCGGAAAATCTTGGACTTGCATAGGCAAGGAATTACGAGCACGATCGATTTGCCTGTACATGAGCATGTACGCATTCGTGCTACTGCTGTATGCACCGCTGTAATACGCCCTTGTGGGCCCACCACCGTACGTCTTCTGAATGTCATCGTGGGTGATCTGACATCAAAATGCTAACGTGAGCCGTCGATGGCTTACTTTAGACATTTTAAACTACTAAACTCCCCCTCAGGTACCTGCGTCACGCTCTGATCGTTGAAACACAGCCACTCTTGTGTCCTAAAATCCTTAATGTAAGCGTAATAATGGCCTCCACTCGCACTTCCACTGTGGATCATGATGGAGAACAATTCATATTGATATGGGCCTCTTCCCAGCATATAGGTACCGCGATTCTTCTCGTTCTCGTGGTTATGTACGGTACAATTCGATGTCGACGGCCCGTTGCTCATATCTATGCCTGTCGACAGATAAGCGTTTTCAACGACAATTTTCACGTAATCTCGATAAGACTGCGCCAATCTCCGGATGATTAGATGAAGAGACACTCTGATGAAGAGACACTCGATCCTTTATTAAAAATTTGATTATTCTTACTTAAAGATTAAGGCAACAGCGCCCAAGATATTACCTTCGTCATCGTCTTGATCGTGATTGGCTGAGTGATTGCTGTTGGAGAGACTGTTGTCACACGGTATACAATCATCATCCAATGTGCCGCTATCCGTTGTGGAACTATCGTCGCATTTGATGCCTAAACCAATGTCTTCCTCGCCACCCGGAGACTCTTGACTTGTTGTGGACGAGATGAAGGGGTTTAAATTCAGTATGTCTGGAAACGTGACTCTGCGGCGGCAAAAGTAACAAAGTGAGATCACGAGTGAAACGGATTTTCTTCGATCAAGCGCACAATTTCCCAATAAGCTCACCTATCATTGAGCTTGATCCTGTGAAAAGTTTTGTAATCGAAATCAAACCTCTTAAGATGTAGAGTTAATAAATATGGAAACTTCGTGAACTTTAATCCTTTATGCGCATCGCACTTCTTATTGCACTTCTCACAGTGGTACTGATTGGCTCCTTCCAAGATTTCGTACTGGACAAATGCCCTGATTGCTTCCTCCTATAAAGCCAAGTTTTTTGTCTTCCATACAGATACACAGACAAATGTGTGAGTAAAATTATATTCAAGATTTTGCAACGTAATAATGTATTACCACACAGGTGTACGCAACGTTACTTCCAAACGGTCTGACCGGTAATGGGATATCAAGAAACGTATCTTCTCTTGATTTCTCAGTCCCACACTCGAGGCATTTAACGTAATCAATCATCTTTCCTGCGCAACGTAGAAGGCAAATTATGGAGACTGTTCTCACAAATACGCAGTGATGAGTTTTATACCTTCGTAGAGTCTGTTGATTAAGTCAGCCTGTTCTGTGTTCTTGAATTTCTGTTCCAATGCGTCAAACATAACTCTGCAAAGCTCCTGAATGTCGTGCTGTTGCCATGCCTCGGTAGAATCCCAGCCAAAACTTTTGGTTAAGGATGTAGTCTCTACTGCGGACTTTGTGGACGTCTGTTTGAAGACACGTATTGTGTTATTCATTTAAAAAAAAATGTAAATTTTAAATAAATGCAAATATAAACGAGTACTGTACCTGCAGATTTAGAAATAACTTCTGCAACTGGTACGGTATACTCAGGGCTTCATCCTTTTCCGAGCCATCCACATATTCCCAATTGTACAACGCGTTACGAAATTCTGGTGTCATATACAGTGCTTGGAGAAGACTGTTCAGGTAACAAGTCATTGCTTGATTGACTAAACCAACGTAACCTTAAAGAAAGCATTGTTAGATGTATGCTTGAAATGATAAAGGGATCTTTACGTTATATCGAGTACATGTGTTAAAAAAATAAATAAAATTTCTTAATTCAGACATATTGTATGTACTTGTCTCAGTTTTAATGAAATTTTTGAAGTTATCATCTTCTCCCCATAAAGGTCGACTGTAGAGAGGCGGTGCAGCTGCGAGATTATACGTTGGCAAACCATAGTCCGGGTTCTTTTGCGACCAGGAAGAACTTGTGGGATCAGTAACAAAGAGAGTATTTTTCGCTTCATTCGGATCGACCGAGAAATCCACTCCTATTTCTTCCATCGTTTTGTCTTTCACTTCGGACAAATCGGTCTACCATAAACATTGGATTATATCAAAACACACAAATTAGAAATGAGACTATGCGTATGTATATCACATGTATAATACTGGATATTTAAAGAATGTAATTAATAACCATCTGGCACGACGTGAATAAAAATAACTTAAAATTATCTGCCCGGATGTGATAATGTTCTTCGATGTAATTGTAAAGATCCTTCACGCGTGTAGATACAAATAAGGAAATTTTGTTGCTAGTGCAAAGCTTATGATTAGCCTCGAAAGGCGTAGTAAATTGAATCGCACATACTTGAATCTTTTCACCAGCTCTACAAACCATGATCTGCAAGTGAAACAATGCGAATACATTAATCTGACTGCGTCGAATATTGCGGCTGAGTTGAAGGGGAATCACTAATCTTCACATACACACATTCCAATAAAGTTTTCATGGAACAAATGGTCATGTTATACTGTTGTTAACCTCTTAGAATAAAAAGCAAGAGAAAAATAATAAAAATAAAATTGTGATATAATATTGAAGTAAAGAATACAGCACTTCTCTTTATTCACAGATATAAAGTATGCGAAGAGACAACTATTAGAAATTTATCAGATACTTTCAGATAAAAATTGGCATTGTGCCATACTGACAGCAGAAAATGAGCAAGATCTACGCAACACAGCAGAATGCTGCTCTGCATGGCACGACACAGTACGGAAAGCCTATAGAGCCTCCAGCTATATTTAGAATGTCTAAACCAAGCTTGTGAAATGGCTCTCTTCTCCGAGATTACAATCCCTCCCCCCCCCC